CTGCTTCCTCCTCTTCTTCTTCTCTTTTCTTTCTTTCTTTTCTTCTTTTCTTTTTTTCTTCGAGGTTTCGTCGAGCGAATGGAATATTTTTTTTTGGTAGACGTACGTATTTTTTCTTTCGTGTGTGCGAAAAAAAGAGGGAGTGTAACAAGAGGTACGAGAAAGGGAGGATTAGAGGATAGGAAATCCTCGAAAAGCGAGACGTCGTTGCGATGCTCGAAAATTCCTTTCGAAAAATATTCCTGAATCCAGGTGTACTTCAACAATGACGATCACTGTCGATCTCAATGCTTGGGTATATCATGCGTTCCGCACGAATAATTACAAGAGGCTGTTAGATACGTACGATTCAATAAAAAGTAATTACAATACTGTTGCATTTTTTGAGAATAATTAGGAGAAGTAAATTCGTGAAGAAATTGTTAAAAAATGAAACTTCTTCAAAATTTAATATTTTCCATTTTATATAATTTCTTTTCATTTTTCCTCTCTCTCTCTCTCTCTCTCTCTCTCTCTCTCTCTCTCTCTCTCTCTCTTTGATCAACCGACTACATTTAACACTTGAAGCGTGTTAAAAGGATTTCAAAATGTTTCCCGAATCGCAGCTTCAAATATAGAAATATATTTCTAAGCGATGGGAAAGGGAAACTACTAAATCGGAAAACACGAAAGGAATTTCGTTCGTAGTTCTGCCGCAGGATGTTGTTGATCTTTGGGGGACGACAAATATTTTTCATTCGTTTGTACGAAAAAAGGTGTGAAAGAGGAAAGAGGGAGAGACAGATAGATAGAGAGAGAGAAAAAGAGGGAGAGAGAGAGAGAGAGAGAAAGATGAAAGAGTATCCTCAAAAAACCAAATAGCACCATCGAAGCAACGAAGCGTACTTTGGAAAGCTTCGCGGCTTCAGAGGTTGCGCGAGTGCGCATGTAAAAAAGAGAGAGAGAGAGAGAGAGAGAAGAAAAGAAGAGAAAATAAAAGAAGAGAAGAGAATCTCGGCGAAGTACCTTCCGCGGAATAAGAGGATAATGTGGACTCGATTTGACGTTCCTGAATATTTAATATCCCGCGAAAGCCTTCTCATCGTTCGCTTTTTATGACAGCCCAGACGTTTGCCTCCATTCAAGCGGAGCTAACGAAGGATCAAGCTTTCTTCTTTCTCTTCCATCTTCTTCTTCTTCTTCTTCTTCTTCTTCTTCTTCTTCTTCTTCTTCTTTCCATGGAAAATGTGTGAAAGTACGGACACGTTCATCGATTTTTGACGAACTTTATAGAAAGACGCGCTTTTGATATTAAAAAATTTATTCGATGTTTCAAAATAAAAAAAGAAAAGAAAAGAAAAGAAAAGAAAGAAAAAGAAATGAAGAAAGAAACGAAACAAAAAAAGGATCAGTCCTATATCCCTTCGTCTTTTATTTTCCATTGTTACAAAATCTCTGATTAATACGATTAATTCGCATTCCGTTACAAGAGAATGAAATCTTGTTTGAAATATAAAAGAAACTTGGTCGGACAAAAAGCAGGTCAGCGCACATTCCGGACTTAGTGTTAAAACAAGAACGGCAACATCAAAAAAGAAAAAAAAAAGAGAGAAAGAAGAAAGAAAAAGAAAAAGGAGAAGAAAAAAAGAACAGAAGTAGAAGAAAAGAGGAAAAGAAGCAAAAGGATTTTGTCTTAACGTCTCTCGAGAATTTATATCCTTCGAAACGTCGCTTCCAGAGGAGAGAAGAAGAAGGTGTGTGAGAAAGAGAAAGAAAGAGAGAGTCCTTTGCTTTCTTACACACACCTCCGAGAGATATCAACCTTTTGCCATTCGCGGGTTTCTCTTTCTCGTAGTATCACCCTTTTACCTCATACCCCTCATTCCGTTCGTCGTCTTATATTTCAAGCGTTAAACGTCTCTTACCAGCCGAGAATCATTCCACGCTTTTTCCGGCTATTTGCACTCGTCCACGTGAGTTTTCTTCAGAAACGCGAGAAAAAGAGAAGGGGAAAGAGAAAGAGAGAAAAAGAGTGTGAGAAAGAGATAGAAAAATAGAAAGAGAGAGAGAGAGAGAGAGAGAGAGAGAGAGAGAGAAAATTCGCACGCGTTTCTCGTAAGAAGCTTCGTCCTCAGGTCACGTCGGAGAACACAGAAAAGAGGCTCATGCAATTCTAAACTATTTCAAATGAAATGGGATAGGCGGTCGATGGATTTGCTAGCTGCTCGAGGATACTCAGGACTTTTTCTTCTTCTTTTTCTTCTTTTCCACTTCTTTCCTTGTCTTCTTCTTCCTTTTCTTCTTTTTTTTTCTTCTTCTACTTCTTCTTATTTCACCTCGTTCGTTTTATCCTACCTTGAGCAAGGATGAGGAGAATCCAAGAAGGAAGGCATGGCTGCCTCTATAACGGGCCCGTTCTCCTTTGTTCTAAAATTCTTACGACTTCCCTTTCGTCTACCTTCGGTACACCAACCGAGGCTTCTTCTATCCTCTTCCTCTTCCTCCTTCTCCTCCTCCTCCTCCTTCATCTCCTTCAGTTCTCCTTCTCTTTCCTCTTCCTTAAGGCTTGGTGAACCTAAAGAGACGAAGAAGACGACAAAGGAAGTGGTTTGTACCGGGTGATAATGGCGAGATAGGAGCTTCGTTGCCTCTTCTACAAAATCGTCCTCTCCCTCTTCTTATCCTTTCTCTTCCTTTTGCGTTAGCCAGGGACACTTTGTACCGAACATCCAGGATGCCTCGCAACTTTCTTTAGTCACTCGACTCGGCTAACTTTGGGGGTTTTCGCATTAGCATATCGACTTATTCATACCACCCTTCTCTATTCTCTCTCTCCCTCTCTCTCTCTCTCTCTCTCTCTCTTTCTCTTTATCCTTCTCTCTCTCTCTTTTCTCACAAGCTTCCTTACGTATTCTTTCGCGAAGGTTTTCTCTTCCTTTTCTTTTTTCTCTTTATTCTTCTTCATGTTCCTTCCTTACTTCTCTCTTGGGAGTCGAAGGTGGCCGCCTCTAGGCGTTTCTCGTGACACCCAGTAGACGATAAGAAAGACTACGGGGTTGTTGGATCCATTTATTTTTCGTCTCTAAAAAGTTATGTTGACGGTGCATTCGTTCTATCGGTTAATTCTTAAATAATATTTTTTCGAGTTCTCGAGATAAGGTGAATATTATTACATTAAATGATAATTCTTTCGTGGAATATCTTTTCGTAGATGACTTTTGTTTTCTTGTAAATACCTGTTGGATTGATTAAAAAATTATATCTGCGTTATATAATATTTTAATGCTTGCGTGATCGAAAACTTTTTATGTACGACGTACAGATCAAACGTTCAGGGTTCCTTCGAAGGTTTGCCCTTTTTCAGAACTCTTACTTTAAAAGAATCAAATTGAACGTTTTCAATGAAAATAAATTTCCAAAATTTTGACGTCCGACAGTTTTCATAGATTTTTTGATTAGAAATCATGATGGGAATATAACAGCTGGGCTAACAGGAAAATGAATCGAGTACGTTCTTATTATATTTCGAATCATTCGCTGTAGGTTACTTTGTTGTTCGTAATGTAGAGTATCAATAGAATGGTTTGATCGAAGATCCAAATGTTGCACCTTCCGCGCCATTGGAAGTCCAAGACTTGATACCGGAAGTCAATGTTGGTGCGATGCAACAGGTGGCATGATCTCTTTACAGTGCAGTCGAAAGGAGAAAGAAACGATGAAGAATCTTTGTTCGTATGTAGAGTTCATCATGCGATTGTGAATCTCTTACATGATAAAAGGTGAAACATGGTCATAGCGTTTGGTACGTTCCCTGGGATTGGCGCTGTACACGGATAAACGGATTATCGGGTACTTTGCGGTTGCCATCGATCCTGGTTGTCATTAAGCGACAGAAACATACCGCCAAATGCAATTACAACTGGAGAAACGAAAAATGTCGAACATTTATTCGTTTCTCGTTTGCGTCACGTTAGAGTCATCGATTGTGTAGTCGCGTTACATGTTCAATGGTTTCGTCCTGAATCCATCGGTACAGAGAACTGACGAATGAATTTCTACGGGGTTCTTATATGTCATGATTCGTACATTCACAATTTTTATTTATTCTTTTCATCTGATTTACAGATTTTTGTTTGAGAAAACGTAACGCTCACTCCAGCGATGTTATTGAATAAGTCGCTACGATATTATAAATGATATCGATGGACGAATAACCGATAAATGACCCGATTTTAATACGCTTTGAATTTCACGATAATTATTATAATAATACCTTTCTCTGAGCTTATAAAATTTTAATTTGTTTCAACGAACAAACACCAGATAAACCGATCATGATTATTCACGCTATTTTATTTCTAGAAAATTTACTCGTATTGCTATCCATTACTATCTCTATTTAGAGAGAATCTAAATTTTCGTTAATAACGATTCAATCCATGATTAAAAGCATCAATCCGATAGATTTCGAACTAAAATAATTTAAATTACGTAAAGTACGTCGATTGGTACAATAATGGTTAAATGTAATCATGAATGAATAAATATAATCTTTCATTCTCGCGTCGAAGATATATATAATTTGTATTTTACACTTTAAACTAATTTCCTGAAATATATGAAAGAGAATTGCATAAAATAATGTATTAAAAAATAATGAATGAAAGGGGAGATCTTTATGAAATGATGTACTTATCTTCTTCTTCGTGGATGGACGTAAAGAAAAAAAAGAAAAAAAAAAAAGAAAAAAGAAAAAAAAGAAAGAAAAAAAAGAAAGAAAAAAGAGAAAGAAAGAAAAACAGAAAAAGGGGGAAAAAAGGAAAAAAAAAAGAAACGAAAATGAGATCATTTTCATAAGATTGTAAGTTTGGCGCGTGAAATGGCAAAGTTGCGGCGACGACGGCGGCAAGGTTCGGCGGCACGAGAATGCGAAAACGGTCGAAGTTTGACGAAGGTAGCCGAGCGCGGCCGAGGACCTGAACGCGGCAACGCTCGTGCGAGGGTAACAGTCGTGCCGCGGCCTCCAAAGAGGGAGGTTGTTATTGCGTCTCCTCTTAGCAACTTCGCGTTGTCCCGCCATAACTCTCTTCTAACGTTTCTTAATTACGCGTACTTTATAATTTCATTATTAAAGAAATGATATGTACGATGATGTCGTGGCATCGTTAAAAATATATTCGCTATGTAAACGAAAGGATTTATTCGCGTTAACGGTGAACAAAGTTTGTGGTGTTTCGATGGAACCAATGTGACGACAAACTTTACGTCCCTTTGTTATATTTAGTTGTGCCCGTACTATTTCCTAAGTTATTATTCGACGAACGTGAAGAGGAAAAATAAGGAATATAAAGAAATATTAGACGAATTTAAGAACGGCATTTAACACGGCATTTGTGTTACTTAATATGGCGGCAAGGAGGATCGGCGGGAAACGGAAGTAATCGGTGGGAACATGATGCGAATGAACGAGCATACATCGAAGATCGTTCAAAGGTTTTTTTTTTTTTTTTATAGAAAAGAGAGATAAAAATATCGTCGTTTCTAAGAGAAACTTGAGCGACAGTGAACCATTTTTGTTTTTATGCTTACCTCTGGGAGAACTCGAGGACAATAAAAGGAAAGTGGCTTTACAAGGAAGAAACACGAAAAGACATCGAATCAGCCAAAAGAGTAAGAAAGAAAGAGAGAGAGAGAGAGAGATAGAGAAGGAAGGAAGGAGAGAAGCGGAGGAAGAATTCCTTTGTCCTCCGAGGCAGTACCGAAGGCGTTCAAGAGAAAGGAAGACAGAGTGAAAGAGGGGATACGAAACGAGCACGCGGTTGAGTTTTCATCTCTCTCTCTTCTCTCGTGTATATATATATATATATATACACACATACCTGTGCGCCATTGGTAAAAGATTCCGTGCCTCGAAGCTAAAAAGAGAGGAGAAACAGAGGTCGTAGAAGAGAATGATAGACGGACATGCGCGTTTTTAATATATACTCGTTTAGTGTTCGTTAGAACGTTTTATATTGCGAATGCCGAGATATTGCGTGTCATTCAAATTTAATTCTTTATCTCCAAACTACAAAGTGATATCTTGCTTAAGTTTATTTCTCGTTTGGATACTCGTGAATTCGTTCTAAATGGATCGGTGAGAGAGAGAGAGGAAGAGAGAGAGAGAGAGAGAGAGAGAGAGATCTGTTTCATTTAGTTTCGTAATTTGTCAAAAAAAAAAAAAAAAAAAAAAAAAAAAAAAGAAAAAAAAGAAAATTGTTCTCCGATCAATTCGAGTGCTAAAAGATTTCAGGTGATACATTTTATTACTTAAAATTTCTATATACGAAGTAAAAGAGGGAGAATAGAAAAATCTGTGAAAGTTCATTTGGAAGAATGCAGAGACGAAGGTTACCGGATACGATGGCGTTGCTGGTGAGGGCAGCTGTTTTAGCAGCTGTCCTGGGACAATTTCTGCCTAGCGGTTTGGCCAGCAGATTGTTAGCTGCTGCTCATCCTGGACATGCTTATTTCGAACAACCTTGCTGTGGTCGATCTCACCTGAGGCATCACAAAGGTTTGATTACGTTTATTTTTCTCAACGTACAGATGTAAATACGTATATAGATCCTTCCTGTAATTTTTTTTTTTTTCTTTCTATTTTTTCCTTAGTATACATTCTTGCGGATAGGATAAAGAGCGATTTTTGTTGAAAATGAAAAGGCCTTGGCGATCTGATGGATTTTTTTTTTTTTTTTGAATTATGCGTCATGCTTTATTTCTATTTTTATTTCGGACGTATTTCACCGAAGGGACATAAACCAAACTCAAACTTGAAAGTAACTTCGCAAACGAAGTATTTTTTTTCTTTTTTTCATCGTCGATAGAAGAGAGAAAGAGAGAGGGGGCGTGTTTTGGAAGTTTGCTTAGGGTAAAAGTTATACTTTTTTTTCTCTCCCCTCTTTTTATTCGCCTTTTTTTTATAAAACTCGCGAAACGGACACGTGTACTCGAAGGGTTGACGTTTTCAAGTCTGTGATCAAAACGGAATTAGAAAGCTGTGATTTTCTTTTTGTATACATAGTTTATAGTTAAATTAGTTCATGTCGGAAGAAGGTAGATAAATATCGACGTGGGTAGAAGCTTTGAAAAGAGATAAAGAAAGAGTACACACGTCGGCCGTATGACTTTCTAATCTTTAAAAATCGTTATCAGACTTGCTCCACTAATGTGATTTAATTATCATTACGGAGAAATTATTTATAATACAAATTTCTCAACGTTATTATGTCAAAATCGAATCGTTTAATCATGAGATCTTGTAAGTGTATTATATACTCTTTGCATGGATAAAAATGTCATTACGTAAATACGTGTTATATAAAAAAAAAAAGATGCGAGAAAATTTGTAACAAATTTTCAATAGAATCCAATCTAATTTTCGAGATTGAGATATGAATGATAAACAATTACGTGTTATTATAAATTTTATTCTTTAAATTTTGTTTTTTAAAAAATCGTTAAAAATTCGTAGTACTAGTCAAAAAATGTTTTTAATCCGTTTGTAATTTTTCCTCAACGTACTTAGATATTCACAAACAACAATGCTGTAAAACTTTAATTCCGTATTAACCGTAGAACGATTTTATAATAATTCATCGTTTGAGTTTTCTCGTTGGATAAGTTTACTCACCTGGAAGAGAATACAATAGCTCGAGATTTATTTTACACGAACATCGTTGTACATTTTGACGTCTTCTTCCTTCACGTAAAAGTGCGGCTGTTCGTAGAAATTGTGATATACGTTTGCGTACGTTACTCTTACGTACTTATTTACTTACGTTAGCGCATATAACAGACCCTTGAGATTAAGTCACGATCACGTTACTTTTCTGTCAGGATGAAAAATTGCGCTCGAGCTCGATAACGAGCTTGAGAGACATTATCGGTTGGCTCGCATTAACTCGCAAGTAATTTAAACGAGAATATGGGAAAGATCAAATTCGAAGGAAATATGAGAAAGAGAGGGATCAAATTTAATTTCTTTAGGATTAAAAATCGATAGACGCGATAGAAACAAATACGAACAATTGAATAAAGAAAATATATCTTAGTGTTACCTATAATAATTGTATTAATTGTACGTTACGCAAACAAATCGAATGACAAAATTATATTGTATATAATTTTTGTAATTATATTATACACTGATAACTTTTATTATCAAAGAATATTATCGCTTATACATAAACGAATATATATATATATATATATATATATATATATATATATATATATATATGAGATAAACTAGAAAGTGTTTTAGAATTTTACCGATAACTTCTCATGCCATGGGTTTTATTATTCATCGTCTATGGAAACTCGCACGTGAGATCATTTTATGGAAAAGCTTTTACGTACTGTATGTCGTCTTTGCTTTTAACTCGTGCAGCACGGTTAAAGGACTGTTTGAGCGTTTGAAGCGTACACTGAAAATGAACTCGACGTTTCATCTTGAGAAAGTGGTACTTACTGCAATTCTTCAATTAAATCACGTACTACGTAAAGCTTCAAATTTCTTCGTAAGCGTAATTGAAATTTATCAATTCACGTGATTATACTTTTATATAGCGTACAACATTTTTTTTTTATTCTTCTATATCATAAGTATTTCCAAATTAGCAGTATAAAATCCTCTCTCTCTCTCTCTCTTTCTCCCTCCCTCCTTCCCCCTTTCTCTCATTTTCTCTCGTTAAAAGTTTTTTTTTCCTCGCATTAATACCCAGCAACTAAATTCGACGATACTGTCGAAGCGAAATAGCCCCTTGAAAATCCGGAACTCTCTATTCCCTGGTCAATCCAGTGGCCGTCGTAGGGGTGGAGTTTACCGGTAGAATTTTCGCAACGTGCGAAAACACTTTTCGCGGCGATCCACGAGGGATTAAACTTTCCCCGACGTTTTTCTTAAGGGGGGAATGAGACAGATATGGTATATCTATATATATACCTATGTGCGTACATATATATATATGTATGTATACCTATATATAGATAAATATATAGTGAACCTGGGAGTACCCCTAGCCACCCTCAAAGCGTGGCGGCAAATCGTTTAAGCTGTGGAGAAAAAGAGAGAAAGATAGAGATAGAAAAAAGAAGAAGAAGGACAGAAAATAACATACACGCGTAGAGAGAGAGAGAGAGAGAAGGTAAAAACGTATCCCCGGACAGGAAAGCCCGTTAGCATATATCACCAATATTATCTCGGGGGGTGGCAAAGGACCGTCGAAAGAGTGGGAGAGTACTGTTCTTCCCTTCTCCCTCCCCTCTCTCTCTTTCTCTCTCTTTCTCTCTCTCTCTGTTTCACTCTCTTTCTCTTCCTCTTTCTCGCTGCCACGCGATATTACCAGGGCTTAGAACGCTCGGGACTGACTTCATTATGTGGCCAGGGTAGAGAGAGAAGCATCGAATGGAATGTGGAATGGTCGGTCGGTCGGTGTATGGTTGTGCCGCTCGCTATGGTCGGTCGCTTTCCTGTGGGTTGGTTGGTTGCTCGTGTGGAAGTCGAGTATACGCGCTTGCTTCGACTCGTTGCATGTCTCTCTCTCTCTCTCTCTCTCTCTCTCTCTCTCTCTCTCTCTCTCTCTCTCTCTCTCTCATTCCGATATAACACCGTCCCTTCTCTTTCTCTTTCCGTTCCATTCTCCTCCCAGTTTCTGTCTCACTCTCTCTCTCTCTCTTTCTCTTTCTATCTTTCATCTTCCGCCGTAGCTGCAAGGACCAAACACGCACCAAAAGGAGGAGGGATTTCATGGACGACGGCTGTATCCTGTCTCTCTCTTTCTCTCTCTCTCTCTCTCTCTCTCTCTCTCTCTCTGGATACTTTCAGAAGTACAGGAATACGATATCCCTTGCAAAATTCGTGGTTTCGTTCTCGCACGTTTCTAGTCATCAGCGCCATCAAACGATCACTGGATATTTCGATTTCATCCAGGTATTATTTTTTCTTCGTCTACTATTTCTTTTTTTTTTTTTTCTTCCATATTTCATTTTATATATCACAGTCGGCTTGAGCAAAGGTAAACTTATTTAAAATGTAACATACATAGGGTCGATGACCACAGTTTTATTTATAAAAAGGATACGGGAATGTATTTAAATTTAAATTCTTATCGTAAATCAACGTTAGTCACGATTAAACTTAAAGTGGCCTAAAAACGAGAAATATTAAATAATATCGTACGTTATCATTATCCTATTTGAAGCAGGTACACGTAAAAGCACTTAGTGACCGCTCGAATATATTCAGTTCTACGTATGGTAGCTCAGCGTCTTTGCGTTAAAATACGGTTAACGAAGAGCTGTCAAAAATTCCGAAGGTTGGAAAATAACGATATTGAAAGAGAAAGGAAAAAGAAAGAGAAAGAGAAATGGAAAGAGATCTATAATAGTTACGAATGATATATTGTACGTTTGGTTTAATTTATTTAACGTTATTGAATCTGACATTAGAAATTCAATTTTGTCTTAGTCGAAATATATATTTATGTTGTCTTTGAACACGATTTTCGAAACTGTCGAAGTAGTATAAACTCTGATATTCACGAGTAAATACTCGTGAAGTCTCTCTTCGCTTTTGTCATACTGCCTCCTTTATTCCGATAAGATATACTAGGCTTTCAGATTATCGTTGCTGTTTGCCGAACTTCGATAAGGATATCTCTTTGTCTCTTTCTCTCTCTCTCTCTCTCTCTCTCTCTCTCTCTCTGTCTCTTTCTCTCTATCTATCTATCTATCTATCTGTCTGTCTGTCGAGTCGTGGTTCGAAGAAAATTCTAATCGTAATTGTATACTGTCGTTAGGTTTCTTTGTCACTTAATTTTTTTACGATGTGATTCATAAAGAGAATAAAAAATTATTGTACGTGTCGTATAAAAGAATACGAAATATTTCGTATCAACGATGAAATTTTAAGGATAGAGTACAAAACGAATAGATCTACGATCGATCAAATATTTGTAAACGTTGTTCAGGGAATTACGGAACACATATTCACATGTGTTTCTCTATATCCGCATGTGGAAGGACTAATTTGATCTGCACTTGCGAATTCGACTGGTAGGCCAGTGCGATAGGACCGTGAATCTGTAAGCTCCTGGTATCGAATCTCTACTAACTAACGGAACGGATATTAATTTCGACGCGCTTCTCAAACCGATCCATTAATCCAATTTACACGCGCATTTGACGTGTAGCGTTCCGTAGCTTGCGTGCGTACACATAAATGTAGTGCAATTACGTTGAACGCTCGAAAATCATCATGGTCGATTTCCGCCTTTCGAGATCACCTCTTCCGATTATCAACGAATTCATAAATGTCATTTATTTTTATCTATTTATATGTTTTATCAAAGATTCCTTCGAATGAAAAGAGCTTTCGTCTATGTTCAATACTTGATATAGAAACATTAACGACATAACACGTATGCATTTCGTATATGCAATTTGCTTTTCGCTGAGATTTGCGGTTCAAAATTCCCTGTGGCGACGTAGCTTTTCTCTGCGAGCGAGATATTT